GAATGACTCAGAATGCGTTGAATACCTGACGCGAACCTTCCAAGTATGTTTGTCGTCATCAAGAGGTGAGTCGAGAGGCAGGGTGCGGCCCGCCTACGAAACAGGTTGTATCCCGCAAAAGGTTGGCGAATGTGGCCCAAAATTTCATACCGGTGAATCACTGGATTAGCATTTCCTTGAACACCAGTGGCGCCATCTCTGTCTGCGCTGCGTTTTTCTTATATTTTTTATTTATACGCATTGCGTTTTGTGTTGTATCTTCTTTGAGGCCAGCAGTTGATTCTTAGGGACTTAACCGATTTCGCAGCTCATAGATATAGATGTTAGCCTTGGCGTGGCCAAATACGCTCATGCTGAAGCACGACTGATGTTGATCAGTAGGTCACCATAGAATATGTGGAAAGACAAGGTAGAGACAGGTCTGCTTTCAAGGAGGAGTAGTTCCTTCTGCGATGCCGTATCGGGCGTCTTATAGCAAAAGTGTACTTATAGAGGTATCTTGTTATGATCCCAACAAGCACAGAGTCACAGTTTGCTGGCATCATCAGCGTAGCAGTCGAGAAGGCATTAGTCACAAAGAGACTTTCAACGGCGACACCTTTTTTTGTATGATTTAATGTTTCAGTGATTTGACTAATTATATTGAAGGCGGTCAGTCCATATATATCATCATGTCGTAGATGATAACTTTAACCTATAGGTTATCCGCTGGTTATCGTAGATAATTACGACCAGCATCGTTTTAGGTACTGCTAAAATGACGCATTGAATGCCCTGCTCTTTCAAGATTCAGTATTTAGAGTCGTCGTCACAAAACTGAAAAATGGCCTTCAATAAATGCGAGATGTCGAACCTCTATATGTTTGTTATGATGTATATGCGTAGACTCTTTATAGAACACAAAAACATTCAGGATATTGGCGGCGGCACGTCTCAAATGAGGAACACGCAATTAATATGCAAATGTTTTAAACCGACCCTGATTTCCAACCGTTACCGTGTAAAAGGCCATGAGATACGAGCCGAAGTGCGGATGTTTGTCCTTCATCGGATAGACGGCATATATTCGTTGTATAACAAACCGTTTCTGTTCTACCTTTCACTGTGGCTACTGACAGCGTATGCCAGTGTTTTCTGAAGCGTACCATACTTCAATCTTTTTCAAACTTTGTTCGTCCACTTCTTTTGCCTCTCGTGTCATTCGTTCATTTGTTTTTCAGCCTTTTCCTCCCTTCACTTTTTTCACTCCTTTGAGCATTAGTCATCAGTACCCTGTCTCTTGGATAAGTTATTCAGTTTCTGAAAATTCCTCAATTCTTACATTTTATTCCTTCATTCGTTGCTTTATGTATTCTGTCGTTAGTAACTTTTTTTTCTTGTTTTTTTCTGCTTTCTTTTGTTCTTCGATCGTCTGCTTCTTTTTTCACTTCTCAATTCGTTCATTCCAGTTCTACCCAGTTTCTTTCATTTTCAGTCTGTTCCATTTTCAACTTTTTCTTCCATCCTTGGCTTTTCGTTCCTTCCACAACCCCTTCCCTGCTTTCTAAAATAATTTTTTTGTTTCTTCAACTCCTTTTTATATTTGTTCTGCTGATTCTCTCGCTGTTGCAATCGTTCCTTCTTTCCTTCCCCATTCCTCCATCGATTCCTATTCTGTTCAGGTGGTTTCTTTCTTCCTCCCTCATTCATTTTATGCTGTTCCCTCTGTTGTTTTTCGTATCTACGTCAAATGATCGATGTTTGATATCTCCTCATTTCTCTTTCCTTATTTCGATTTTCCCAGCCATCCTCAGTTAGTATCGTTCTTTCTTTGTTTCTCACTTCCAATGTCCCTTCATACTGTTTGCGTTTCATTTTCTCTATTTTAAGCCCATTTTAGCTGGCTTTCATCCGTCTTAAGTTCCGCAATTCCGCCATTTTCTTCTCTTCACTTTGTTTCTCTCACTTTTGACAGTTTCTTCTTCCCTTAGATATTTTCTTTCTTATTTTCCGCTTTGCTGCCAGTCCTTCTTACGATTTATCGACTATTTATCGATTCTGGTTTTCTTCATGTTAAACGTTTTATGTTCTCTTGTTATACTCAACTGTCCTAGTTGTTTTCTTTTTTCAGTCCGGAGTTCCACAATACCACTTTATGTTCTGCGTTCCCTTCTCCCTCCTGAGTTTCATTCTGGTTCATCTCTTCCTTTCCACCTTAGTTTTTCACTTCCTTTTTTGTCTTTCTTTCGCTTGTTTTTATTTCTCATTTTGTTTTATGCTTTCCTCCATTTCTTTTGCATTCTATCACTTATGCCGTTTAACTTGATTTCATTCTTTCCTGAGTTTCAATTATTTGCCTGTTTCTATGCTGCTGAGGTGCCCAAACAAAAGTTGCATTGAAACTTTCGGTGTGGACGGAATTTTATGCGCAGGTTTTTTTACGGCTGATGTTGATGCTTCCTATTGCGATTATTTTCCCTGATTTGTCTATTAGCGTCATGAACTTCCATATTTTGATTTCTTGATTGTGAGTTCAGTGATTGCTTTTAGCGGCCTGAAAATCAGAAGAAGAACCCAACGGTGGTTTTCAGGAAGGCATCTGAACACCCGGTATGCTAGCACGGTCCTGGTTTTAGCTTTAATTATTTGCTTCTTAGGCCGAAGCTCTTAAACCTGATGCGGACAGTACGGAAAAGATTCAGTGGCGAAACTCGCGGAGGGGAGACAGGAACAGTTTTCCGACTGCTCAGAGCAATTCACATAACCGACGTAGTCTCAATGAATTCCCAAAAAGAACCAGCCGTGTGCCGGACAGTCCACCCCCGGATCCGAAATTCAATTTTTTGGCTGATCCTTCGAGAACCGGTCCCCTGAACCCGAAGAAGAACAGTCGACGACCTCGCTACAATTCGTCTGATGACCGAAACTCATCAGGCAAAAAACAGGGTTACGATGGAGAGAAGAAGGTAATCGATGATGACTTTATAGTTGAGTATATATTACACTGCGCATAATGCCACTGTTACACCCGGTTAGCTCCCTCTGAATCTACCCATCGATGTTGTTTCACCCCTGTTTCACCACCTCGGTCTTGTCTGCCTGGAGTTACTTAAGTGAGTGATAATATCTTCAAGATATTTGCAATCTGCAGTACTTGATGCGTTTCGCGTCAGTTCATCCGCTGGAACAATTTCTTTCCCATCAAGAATGATACTTTCTGGTATTCCTTATATACTATCTTATAAACCTCAAAAATTTATTGCTGTTGTGTTATTTGGACGGAGTCCTTAGCGTAGTGCATATGAATTTGGCATTGTATTTAAGAGTGTCTAGGTTCAGATTCTAGCCACATCGGAATATTTCTTACTATTTGCCAATACTTTGAGA